AAACAAACACCACAACAAAAACACACCACCACACAACAACACAACACCTATTGTGATGTTGCTGCTCAATTTCATTTGTGAAATGTTTTTTTAATGAAGACCTAAAGTTAAAAGACTAATAAGAAAATGAATAAAATCTAGAAATGAATATTTATCTAGCGAGTGTGAACTCCTTGTGAGTGTTTACCGAGCGGATGGTCTGGTCGGTTTGTTTGATGACCTCTTGGATCTGCCGCAGGATGGTGACCTTCATGTGCTCCAGCTCCTGGTGTTGTGTGATGGCATCTGCGATACACGTCCGGTACGTGGCCTCGGCCTCCTCAGTCTGAGACCAACACAAAAACACAACCTGCTAAAACACTGAAAATCTGTTCCTGCAAAACTCTTCCTACAGTGTCTTAAGTGGCATAAGAGAGATGCATTGTGGGAGTGCCGAGTCTGACCTTGTTGCGGGCCTCTTCCTCCAGCCGTTTCTTCTTGTCTACGGTTTTGGTGGTAGAACTGCCGCCCTCCTCCTCGGCCCTGTTAGCCGCCGTCCTGGCCTTGTCGTACTCCTCGCAGCGGGTCATGTAGACCTGCTTCGCCCTGCGCAGGTTGGCCTCACACTCCATCTGTGTTCAAACACACACAGCAGCCCTTACAGACCTGCACAGCTAACATCTCAGACTGTTAAACGTGTGTAGACACATCCTGGTTGGAGTTTTTAAGTGTTTCGCTAGCTTAGAAGATGCATTAATGTAAGCATTACCAGTTTTCTCTTGGCCTTCAGCCAGTGTTCCTTGATCTCCTTGCGTTTCTTCTCATGCTCTTGTTTGCGGAGCAGCAGAGGCTGTGGACAAACACAAAGCACATGATACTTCATCAGGCTTCAAGATATTAAAACTATGACTGAACAATTACAACAACATTTCAGATGATAATAATTAATGTTATTATTTTTACATATATTGATGGAAGGAAATGAAGAAAAGGAGGAAGAAATAACATCTTAAGTCACATTCAGAACATTTAACAACAACCATCAACATCTTCATTCTTATTTTTAATAATAAATAAAAAAATTATACCTACCTACCTACCTACCTACCTACATACCTACATACCTACATACATACGGAAAGTATTCAGACCCCCTTAAATTTTTCACTCTTTGTTA